CATGTATTATACCCTGTGGAACTTTACAAAAATTCCCAGCCCAACTGCATCCTATTGCAAGCCACCCTTGATTTTTAGCAATCTAGTGCAATAATTTACTGACACTGTTGCACTATAGCACTTTAATAGTAATTCATGATCTATCTTCCTGAATTGAACAATTTCAGTGTGAACTCAGTATGCAAGTGAAGCTTCACTAATATAGTTTAGAAATGTCATAAACAGGAAACAGTCCGAGTAAAAGTCTTCAGACAATGTACTACACAGTAATTCTACAACTTATTTCTATTATTTAATATATTTAATATACTTAAGCTTGTGTACATCGGCTCTTATTTTAAAATTCTATCAGGGATCGTAAACTGGAGTATAGTGAGATGTCCTGTTTTGACATAGGATAAATAATAGCTTTAAATACAATTACAACACTTACAAATGCAGTAAAATAAGAAAATTAATCCATACGTCACACATTGTACAAGACAGTGAAGCAAGCTTGTATAAAAGTAACCAAGATGGCCAACGTATGCACACAAAGCTGTAGAGTCTCACGCCGTAGAGCCTCAAAACCTTACCGAATAGCTCTAGCCAGTTTGAGTGTCAATCCGCCAAACACGTTATAAGCCTGAGGTCCCCAGTTAATAAAAACTTCAAAAGTCAAAACCAAATAACAGCTAAGATGTATGGAAACCAGGTTTTTGGCAAATATTCTGTCGGGTCTTTGATGACTTTAAGCTTTTTTGTTTGTTTTGTATCTGATATCCCTTAACGCGTTTAATTTGTTCTTACGTTGTTCTAGGTCTCATGAATTGTTGTTTTAAACTCTGAAACGGTTCACGAACACCTGTAAATTTACAATACAATTGTTGAAAGTTATACACTATTGAGTGTCGTTATACCGATCACGTTCATGTTCAATATAAATCTACCGGCCGGTTTTGCTGTTCATGGGCAGGAAATTATAATAATCATTGAACATTATATATTATACCCTTTGGAATTTTGAATTAGGCCTTTAAAAAAATTTGGCGGCCAAATTCTGAATTTTGCATTGCAAACCTTGGAATTTGGCCGCTAAATTATATAATTACTAGAAACCCGCCGCTAGTCGAAAGCTTTGTTCGAGGAAATTTTAAGCATCAGTTATGTTTTAATTTCTCTTCATCATATAGCCCCAAAACAATACTTTTTACCGCATCAAAAAATTTCAATCACAACCAAAGTTATAAATATATATAGGTATTTATCGGTCATCGCTAGTCAATGGTCAAACAATCCAACAAATATGCTTTAGTTCCCGAACCCTGCTTCACTGAAAATATATGAATTACACATTTGAATCATTTCGGTAAATGTCAGGTCCCTCATCGTCTCATTTGATAGATCTGTTCAAATTGAAGTTTTTACGTATGAAAGAATTGTGATAAATAAAAAGGGAAATTTGTGCTGAATGAAATTGGTAAAATGACATAATCTATCAAATGACTTTAGATCCTAAATCAAATAGGTTAATAAATGGATATTTACGTAGGTTGACAAAACGTTAATTCAAAATTATTATCATTATATGAAATTATTATATGAAAATTGATTGCTATGAAAATAAGTAATAGCTAGTTATGAAGACAATCCTTGAACACGGGATTCTTTGCAATATTGCCCCGACTTGACAGCACCAAGATATCCTTAGGATCGTGTGTTCTTGACAAAGCTTTGTTCGAGGAAATTTTAAAAATCAGTTATGCTTTAATTTCTCTTCATCATATAGCTCTGTTATACTGTAGACATAATGGAATTTATCTAACAATGGCGACAGCGTTGTTAGTATTCGGATTCCCAAAACGATACTTTTTACCGCATCAAAAAATACCAATCACAACCAAAGTTATGAATATAAGTCAAAGCGTGAGCGTAAATGTGAGCTAGTTTTGAAATTATGACGTAGTTAGTTAGAGGCGGTCCGTGTAGGCCTTACACTGTGCTTTCAGCAATACTCATAAGTATTTCCGTGGCTGTGGTTGCAATGCGCCTAGTCTACTGGAATGATTCTTCGGAATTTCGCTGGATTGTACAACTTTCGTCTTGGTAGATTCCAAACATAAGGAAATTTTCCTTCTGGTTGGTAATATACTCAATGATGGGAGTATAGTGTATTGGCTATGCCCCGCTTACTAGTTTAGCTCTTTCTAGTCCCCTGCTACACGGCATGTAAACAGGGATTGGCTAGTTAGAGGCGGTCCGTGTAGGCCTTACACTGTGCTTTCAGCAATACTCATACAGCATAACAACGCGCGTAGTTAAGATGTTTTTGCTCGCGCACGTGCATTTTAACGTTGCTACGCAACAGCGCAGTAAACCTTTGCTAAAATAACGACATTATTCTAACGGTTATTTTACCTCACTTCCGACGTTAATTATAAAAAATCTAAAGCCTAAATCAAAATTCTAAGAATGCTATAGCCTATTCCTATCCTTTTTCTACAACCCTGCTAACAGTGGCGAGGTTTCAACTCCATTTGCGAGCTGGGTTTGATTTCACCAGAGGGTCATTTTGAGGTCGATTTTCGGTGTTTTTTCTTCTATGTCCCCGTTGCCGGGGAAATTTCGTGAGAAGACGAATCTTTTCGTACCAAAAAGGTGATTTTAGAAGACAAATTGTCTTAAATAATTTTCTAGCTCGAACACAAGGGTCCCTTGTATAAATTTTGTACAAATTGTACACATTTTTTTACAAATTTTGTGTCTCAACTATTATAAATTTGGTACTAAAAGATTCGTCTTACCAAGCTGATTACGATCCTGTAAAAATTATTTCAAAAAACTGATACTTTTTGAGTTATAGGCATTTTAAGCCTTAAATCTGCCGTGTTTGGCCCTTTTTACGATGAATTTTACTAAGTCGTTTGAGGCCACATTTCATACCTTAAAACTCAAAATTGAGAGAAATCCTGTTCCAAAAAGTTGGATATGATCATCAGCTACACTCACAAGAATTTTTGAAGCGATATCTTATGACCTGGGTGAATGGTAAAATATACAACTTTGATTTTTACAAAAATTTCAATTTTGCTTCTCTCGACCTTGTTTGGTCTGTAACTTTGTCATCTATATTTTAATTATAAAATCCTTTAAAGGGCTTCTTGTACGGATTGTAAATAATGTTCAGTTAAAAAATCAGTTAATAAACGTTTAAAATGACTGAAATATCGGTATTACAGTGACAGACTTCTCAAAATTTCCAAAACTTTCGAAAAAGAAAATATTTATTTTTTCGAAAGTGCGGGTCCTCAAAAATAATTTTTAATGTATCAAATCTTATTGTTTTGATGTATACTTTCTTAATATGAAGTTAACAGCAGGGCCAGGGCATAAAAGCTTTTGGTGTATGTCCCCTTAATAGGGCTGCCTTCACAATTTAATGGGGTCATCTAATCACGTGACCAGGCTTCTGAGAACTCTCATTTTCAGGGCAAATGTAATCTGAATGGCCAAACACAACTTAGTAAAATTTGGCTCGATCCAATTATTTTTTTGAAGGCCTAACTCAAAATTTTGTCCCAAAAATTAAAGTTGAAATGCGATTCTACGTTGATTCTGAAAATTTCATGTAAAAATATTGAAACCCTATTGAGTTCTATTGTTTTCAGCGAAGTCAGTTTTGCAAATATCGCGAACTGAGATATAAGCAATTTTGTTCATATTTTGCGATTATTTGAACACAGAATCCACAGTTATGTAGATACTGAGCTGATAATCATAGATAATAGGCTTACCTTTCATATAAAGTTGGTTTTATTCAAAAATATTGATATTTGACCAATTTATGGGCCAAAATCGATCAAATTTGGTGCGTATGCCCAAATATTGTCATATGGTTTTTGGCTCATAACTCAGTCACCTGAAATCTGGATTTTGGGCATGTTTAGGGTATTTGGCTAAATTGGGCCTAATTTGGACCAAATATGGGCGTGGCTGCCCGCGGGCACCGTTTGGCGGTTGGGGTCCGGGACCCCCTCAAAAGTTCGGTCATCGGTCCTAGTTTGTTGGTCAACTGCTATCTCCCCCCCCCCCCCCCCCCCCCCTTCAAGAATTATTTCATATGCTGTCTCGTCTCGTTTTACTTTTCCAAACCCAGCTGGCATTTAAAGCGTATCATTTTGACTCATATCACTTCTTACACCATCCTCCACCATTCACTCTGATTTCACCGGCAACCTTCCCCAGGGTTGCCACACCCCAGAGGTAGGCAGAGCATCTGAATGCTATCCTCTCGTGGGCTATCTTGGCCCAGCCTCTCTTTAAAAAAAAGAAAAAAGAAAGTGACTTTTTGTGTTGAAAGTATTAAGACCTTCCAAAATGCAACTGTGATCAATTATGTTATTTATTGTTACGATTTAAAAATGTGTGTGATCAAAGTTTACCATTACTTTTGCGGTGGTTTATAAACAAACTTGATAACGCTGTGTGATCATATGATATTATTTGGATTAAGGATATAAATTCAAGGGCGAAAATGACAAGTAAAACAGCGGAAGTTCTCAACACTCGAAAACAGTTCATCTCGGACATCCTGCAGAGATGCTTTTTCACAGCCTGCCCCATTACACGGGGAACCCTTAGATCTACAGTACCCTGGTGGACAGCATAGCTCACTAAAGCATAGTGGACTTCTTTAGTTCTGTGACGCAAAGCTAACCGGACCAGGAATAAACATCATTGCAATGCTTAGGGGATGCAAATAGGACATACAACGTTTAACGATTTACTCGAACTTTTGATTCATTTTTTAGCTCGACGATACATGGTATCATTTCAGGACAGATATTCCTTCTTCAGGTTCATTGAGGAAATTGTACCCGCTATTTGCGTTATACATGGCAAGTATCTGGACTAATGATAACTTAGGATCTCAGATTCCCAGGCTGCATTTAAAGCGCTTAACAGCACCAGTTTTAACTCCAGGTTTGTTCTGAACATCTCAGACCAACTCAACTCACTAGGTATTCTCATCGAGTAGAACTCCAGGACATGAAGGAGTATACGGTAAAGAAGTAGCGGACGAATTCGCAAGGGACGATCAATCCAACAACATCCCCATAGGACCAGAACCCTTCCTCCCAATTAGGCCACACTCAGTGACAAAGGAACATTCCACTTGAGATGTTCCTCCACAAATATAAATGCAGGAACTTTAATTTTTCTGGAACTCACATCAGATGGCTTACATGGTCGCTTTCAGGATAGGTCACAGCCCACTAGTTTATTTTCAGAACGTGGCAAACAACGTCAACTTCGAGACGCAAGATTGTGAACACTTTTCAGGAGAAGCAGAAACATCCCAGCACCTCCTCTGCAAGTGCATCCAGATCATGACGTTCAGAATGAGGATAATTGGTAAACTCTACCTTAAAAACAGTAAACTACAATCATATCTTCAAATTTGTGGAACAGTCGACAAGACTGGATAGGGAAAACCCTTTTGGGTAACCTCCTAGGATTCTTTGCCAGGAACTTTCGCTAAATCCCATACTAGGAACTCAACCTAGGCCCATCTCTGTATAGAGACATATCTCCCAGGCTTTGACCTTGCTCGGAAGTCCCTTGTCTGCCCGCAGAAGTACTACAACGGAAGTGGGTTTGCTCTGAGACAGGTAGTGACAGCTTCAAGACTCCAGGGGTCTGTTGCATTGATATTTATTATTTTATGATTTCGTATATACTTTGGGAGTCCTGGCGTGCAGCTAGCAGGAGTTGCATTCTGTGGGCACGGTGAGAAGGCCTCCATCTTTTAGTAAGAGGCCAGAAACCGTTGACCAGAACAGAGAGAGAGAGACAAGTAAAACACACAAAATTCAATGTATAATGTTTGAACAGCTTACTTCACAATCTTAAATTAATATAAACATACAGTATGCCACAAAAATTTGACAAATGAAAATGTAAGTGTTCCTTCATCTCGAATAAAGTACAACGGTAGAGTGTTGTTATCCTTAGTCGTTGTCTTGTCCTTTGTAGTTTCGTTATGTTCTTACTGTTCTTACTGTCCGTGGTGAGGGGGTGGGTGTGGGTGTGGGTGAGGGTGTTGACGGGCCCTCGAAGCAGCAGCAGCCTTAGCAGCAGCAGCTTTAGCAGCAGCAGCCTTAGCAGCAGCAGCCTTAGCAGCAGCAGCCTTAGCAGCAGCAGCCTTAGCAGCAGCAGCCTTAGCAGCAGCAGCCTTAGCAGCAGCAGCCTTAGCAGCAGCAGCCTTTTTAGCAGCAGCAGCCTTAGCAGCAGCTTCAATTTTCTTTTTAAGATCAGCAGCCTTCTTAGCGGCAGCAGCCTTCGCAGCAGCAGCAGCCTTCGCAGCAGCAGCCTTTTTAGCAGCAGCAGCAGCAGCAGCCTTCTTTGCAGCAGCAGCAGCAGCAGCCTTCTTTGCAGCAGCAGCAGCAGCAGCCTTTTTAGCAGCAGCAGCAGCAGCAGCCTTCTTTGCAGCAGCAGCAGCAGCAGCCTTTTTAGCAGCAGCAGCAGCAGCAGCCTTCTTTACAGCAGCAGCAGCAGCAGCCTTCTTAGCAGCAGCAGCACGTGCAGCAGCTGGGTTTGGCTGTGGGTGTGGGGGTGGGTGGTGTGGTTGGGGGTGGGGGTTGTATATATCTTCTGAAATAAGAAATTAGTTTAAAATAATGTATATGCTACATTAATGATACAAAATTTACATTGTACCAACGAAATTAATTCCGATTGAATAAAAAATGTACGTTCATATTTTCTTACCTTCAATTGCAGTAGCGGAGTACAGAACAGCGGCGGTGACTAGGAAAAGCAGGAATACCTTCATCTTGTAAGTTTGAACCGGTGGTTAAGCGTTATCAATATCAAATAATATTAGTAAATAATGATGTTTCACTGCGATAGTCCATTATTTATAAGTTTGTAGGTGCTTGGAATCAAGAAAATTGATGCCGAGGAAGACTTTTTCCCTTCCGGGAACCGCGATGAATTGAGCAAAGTCCAAAGAGCATGTACACTGTATAGTGTATACATAAACAATAAACATTTAACATTGCTATTTGTATAATGTATACTGCTATACTGCTATTTTACATACTCATGGTATTTGCAAGAATATACAGTCTCTCTCTCTCTCTCTCTCTCTCTCTCTCTCTCTCTCTCTCTCTCTCTCTCTCTCTCTCTCTCTCTCTCTCTCTCTCTCTCTCTCTCTCTCTCTCTCTCTCTCTCTCTCTCTCTCTCTCTCTCTCTCTCTCTCTCTCTCTCTCTCTCTCTCTCTCTCTCTCTCTCTCTCTCTCTCTCTCTCTCTCTCTCTCTCTCTCTCTCTCTCTCTCTCTCTCTCTCTCTCTCTCTCTCTCTCTCTCTCTCTCTCTCTCTCTCTCTCTCTCTCTCACTCTCTCAACGGTTTCTGGCCTCCTACTTTAAGAGGGAGGTCTTATTGCCGTGCTGATAGAATGCAACTACTGCTAGCTGCACGCCAGGACTCCCAAAGTATATACGAAATCATAAAATAATAAATATCAATGCAACAGACCCCTGGAGTCTTGAAGCTGTCGCTACCTGGCTCAGAGCAAACCCACTTCCGTTGTAGTACTTCTGCGGGCAGACAAGGGACTTCCGAGCAAGGTCAAAGCCTGGGAGATATGTCTCTATGCGTAGATGGGCCTAGGTTGAGTTCCTAATGTGGGATTTAGTGAAAGTTCCTGGTGAAAAATCCAAGGAGGTTACCCAAAAGAGTTTTACCTATCCAGTCTTGTCGACTGTTCCACAAATTTGAAGATATGGTTGATTTTACTGTTGTTAAGATCCTCCGTAGGGTTTACCAATTATCCTCATTCTGAGCGTCATGGTCTGGATGCACTTGCAGAGGAGGTGCTGAGATGTTTCTGCTTCTCCTGAAAAATGTTCACAATCTTGCGTCTCGAAGTTGACGTTGTTCGCCACGTTCTGAAAGTAAACTAGTGGGCTGTGACCTATCCTGACAGCGGCCATGTTAACTGTCTGATGTGAGTTCCAGAAAAATTATAGTTCCTGTATTTATATTTGTGGAGGAACATCTCAAGTGTGATTTTCTTTTGTCACTGAGTGTGGCATAATTGGGAGGAAGGGGTCTGGTCCTATGGAGATGTTGTTGTATTGATCGTCAAATAACAATATTTTAAGGACCAAATTTTTCGGCAAACTCTACGGTGTGAGGATCTACGGCGTGAGACTTTACGACGTGAGAGTACTAATTGTCCTATTTTCGATAAAAACATATCTTATTCTTATATTTCACTAGGATGCCTGTTGTCACAGAGACTGTTCTTTGAAAGTCAGTTTGTATCACATCAAGGAATATATATCCCAACTCAAGATACAGCCGGTGAAATGTAACACCCAGTGAACAGAACGCAAGCGGAATTAATCTTGGTTCAAAACAACCACTATACTGTACTGTACTATACTATAATATTGCTATTATATTGAAAAGAAGAGTAAGAAGACATTTTTTAAAAATACCAAGGATAAAGCTAACTGTAAAAAAAACAAAGACTGGAAAAGCCCCACGCTCTCAAAATACTCCAGTATTTCCGGGCACTGAGCTCATGAAACCACTAAAAACCTTGGGAACGAGTTTGTTGAAGATCCAAAATAATGTCTCTTGTCAAGAAGAGCAAATCAGGCTCCTTCAAGAAAAAGATCAAGGCCACGTGAAAATCGCGAAAACGAGCGTTTGTCTCTGTCAGGTAAGCAGGTACAGAGTTAAGTGAGCTCAGAAGCCAGATGCACACTCTGCTGCAAACAATAAAAGTCCACCAAAGAACTCTACTGCAGCTGACTTAGATGAAAGATGAAATAAATTAAATGAAAGAGCGTATTGCAGAAATCCCAGAACTTGTGCAAGCTGCTCTTAGGACCAAAAGGGTCCAGAGAACCATAATTGACAGTGAACACACGTATAGTAAAAGAGCCCACCATGGGAGTTGGATTCGAACATTCAGTATAGTGGAATTGGCCTTTGGGGTTGTGATAAACTCAGATAAAATTGACGTGTCAGATCACGTCGAGGTTGTAACAGACCAAAAGTTCATACTCTGCTCTCCACCTAAACCTATACTCGTTATTCCGAGCTAACATAGTCGGGCGGCTTCATTAAAATTCCCCATCAACTATGGCCCGAGAACATACCACCATGTCAATCAACTTCTATCTACTGAGACTTGGATGCCAGACCCAGAAAAATTTGATATCACTATCAAAATGAACTCAATGCCACGTGGAACAACGAATGGAACCAACCCTCAAATCGGCTGTGCTTCTGAAATTCCTGTAAATGAAACAGAAAGAACTGATCGAGCCATAGGCATAACAGAGAACAATGCTGGACAGGGTTGGACACAGGGACACTGATTGAAAAGCGCAGAAAAGAGAAAACACCGCAACTGATAACAAACGAAAATGTTTATTAGTGCATAATCACTTTTTCGAAGACTTTGCGAGTTCGAAGTTCACATCACCTTTCTACAAGTACATTGATCGACATAAAGTGAAGTCTATCAGCAGTATTCTCAGTCGAGATGGGCTGATCTCCAAGGCGCGAAATCTAAAATTAGACCTTATTTATATTCACGCTGGACTGGAAGATTTGAATAAAAACAAAATCACCCCAAAAGACCTCATTGCAAACTACAAAATCTTGTATGGCCCAAAATGGAATACAGTGACTTTGTCAACATCCTGGCACAAAGCAGTGTTTTTGCCTACAAGAAACCAAATAGGACTATTTTCTCCCCAACTATGAGTGCTTCAACAGCACAAGAAAAGCCTCTCGATCGGGTGGAATTTGTATCGGGGTACATCGCTCAATTTCAAAACAAATAAAGCTAGTCAAAACAAATTGCCCTGACCTGATGACCTCCAAGCTATTACTTTCTATCCAAATGATATGGAAAACAGGTTCACCATCATCAATGTCTACGACTCACCAGAGCAGTCGTCGTACAAATCAAAACGCAAGGCTAGAAATGGATCCCCTTACATGACAACTTTAGAGCACCTCCTTGATTTCAAAGCTCAAAACCCCGATCTTGGCAAGATCTTGCTAGTGGGTGACCTGAATGCTCGTACTGGAAATACCAACTTCGACTTTGAAGAAGATTACTCTAACACTGAACCAGATGAAATCCAAAAACTAGCGGGAGAGTAAGCAGGGATCAAGTACTTAACCCCAGGGGTAACATAATCCAATCAAGATAAACAAAATGCTTGATAACTTTGTTATTTCAAATCCGTTTCGCATCATTTGTTTTTTCAGATCAGATGCATCAATTAAGATCTACATTATTGTGAAAAATGGGGCGTCCAGCATGTTTGGAAAAAACAATATAAGTGATTTAGTATTGAATGGATGTGGTCTAAAATATTCGAATTTTCAAATTTTGGCGACAGAATCCTCGAATTCGTTTAAGTTAAAGTACGGTATGTCATCTGCAAAGCAACAAGTCTCAAATATAAATCACGGCCGTGGTTATAATTATATAAGAGCAAACGTATGTACACTGACTTTTGCCCCCCCCCCCCCCCCTTTTTTTAATTTAAATTTTTAGAGAGGCTGGGCCTGGTTGGCCCACGAGAGGATAGCATATGGATGCTTTGCCTACCTCCGGGGTATGGCAGTCCTGTGGGAGGATGCCGGTGGAATCAAGATGTGTAATCAAGGATGATGGTAAGTGTTGTGGGGTGTGTCATAGATGAACGCTTAAGTGTTGGTAGAGTGTGGAAGAGAGAGGCAAAATAAGACGGTGTTTGAGTAGTCGCTATGTTACACCGGTCTGGTCCAACTCCTCTGGCACCATTAAGCGTTAAGTGTGGTTTGCAAAGTTGACAATGGTGGAGATGTGTTGGTTGTCAAATATGTCATTGACAGAGAGGTAGCAGTCCCGGAAATATTGACCTCTTGTTTGGGCAATAGCCGGGCACTGTCCGAGAAAGTGTGAGACAGTATCCTATTCGTCGCCGCATTTAGGACAACCACTTGTGTCTGGTTTGCGAATGGTGTGTAGGTGTTTGTTGATGCCACAATGACCCGTGATGAGGTGCATTGCAGTTCTGTAATTTTGTTTGTTGTTACTGAGTGTAGTGTTGAGATTTTTGATGATGTTGATGTTTTTGTGTCCAAGTGTCAGTTTAGTGTGTCTGGGACCATCAGTAATCCATGATTCTTGATTAAGCTTTGGTGACTTTGTCGTCGATCAGGCGTTTGATGTAAGATTGTGGAATTGGGCACTTCAAAGTGGATTTACTGGTTGTGCCGTTTTTGGCCAGCTCATCTGCTTTTTCATTACCCCACAATCCGATGTGTGCTGCTATCCATCTAATCTCTAAGGTGTTAGTGGATCCGAGTGTATTGAGGGTGTCGTAACAGTCTCTAGTAGTTCTACTCCTCGTTGAGGGTGAGGATATAGCTTGAATAGAGGAGAGACTGTCTGACCATATGATGATGTGCGTGTTGGTATAAGTAGATAGATATTTACAAGCTTCGATGATGGCAGTGAGTTCTGTTTGATAAACGGTGCAATAATCGGGAAGCTTGAATGATCTTTCCTCTAGTGTAGTGTTGTTGTTGTCAGTGGTGATAATATAACCAGCCCCGCTACCTGAGTCTGTGCGTGACCCGTCTGTGTAGCAGGTGACCGTTTCACTGGGGATTTTGTCGATGGTGTTTTAAAGTGAGCCTCTATATTCAATGTTGTCAGCTCCAGGTGTGGTGACCGTGAAGGGTCGTTCAAGCATCATGGTTGGTATAGATAGGTCTCTCTCTTCTTTGGGTGGTATGTTGAGGTCTACCATGAATTGTTTGTTGATAGTGGTGGGAGTTGTGATGGTACCTTTTCTGGGGGCGATAGATTCGAGGGTTAGGCTACCATAGGCTTGAAGCCTGGCAGTGCCCTTTGCTGCTTCACCTCTCAGGAAAAGTATGATATCTGGAGTGTTAGTGGGGTGGTTCAGTGCGATGAAGGGAGTACTAGTCATGGCACCAGACATCATTCTCAATGCCAATGCCTGAACTCGTTTGAACTTCCTCGCGTTGGTGTAGCTGTTTGGGTTGCCCTAATCTATATACTACAACAGTATGATAGAATAGGTCTGATGACAGCGGTGTACATCCATTTGCATGTTTTGGGGCTCATACCCCAAGTGGGGCCGACAGCTCTTCTACATTGCATAAGGGATGCCGTAGCTTTTTTGGTGGTATTGGTGATATGTTCATTGAAATTGAGCTTGCTGTCGAGGGTCACTCCTAGGAATTTGGCAGATTTGGATAGACCTATAGTGGTGTTACCCACCACCATAGTGTCCATTTCTTATTCCAGGTAAACATGACTATTTGTGTTTTGAGTGCGCTTATGGATAAATCTTTGATGTTGAAAGTATTAAGACCTTCCAAAATACGACTGCAATCAATAACATGTTTTTTATTGCTCCGATCTAAAAATGCGTGTGATCAAAGTTTACCATTACTTTTGCGGTGGTTCATAAACAAAATTAATAACGCTGTGTGATCATATGATATTATTAATTGGATTATGGCTAAATTCAAGGGCGAAAATGACAAGTAAGACACAAAATATTTAATGCATAATGTTTGAACAGCTTATTTTACAATCTCAAATGACTATAAGTATAAACATACAGATATGCCACAAAAAGTTTATAAATGAAAATGTAAGTGTTCCATCATCTCGAGTAAAGTACAACGGTAGAGTGTTGTTATCCTCAGTCGTTGTCTTGTCCTTTGTAGTTTCGTTATGTTCTTACTGTTCTTACTGTCCGGGGTGTCCTCGGTGTCCGTGGTGGTGGTGTGGGTGTGGGTGTGGGTGTGGGTGTGGGTGGTGACGGCGGGCCCTAGCGGCAGCAGCCCTCTTAGCAGCAGCTCTCTTAGCAGCAGCCCTCTTAGCAGCAGCCCTCTTAGCAGCAGCCCTCTTAGCAGCAGCCCTCTTAGCAGCAGCCCTCTTAGCAGCAGCCCTTTTAGCAGCAGCACGTTTCCTTTTAAGAGCAGCAGCCCTTTTAGCAGCAGCACGTTTCCTTTTAAGAGCAGCAGCCCTCTTAGCAGCAGCCCTTTTAGCAGCAGCCTTCTTAGCAGCAGCACGTTTCCTTTTAAGAGCAGCAGCTTTTTTAGCAGCAGCCCTCTTAGCAGCAGCCCTCTTAGCAGCAGCACGTTTCTTTTTAAGAGCAGCAGCCTTTTTAGCAGCAGCCCTCTTAGCAGCAGCACGTGGGTTTCCGCGGTGTGGGTGTGGATGTGGGTGTGGATGTGGGTGTGGATGTGGGTGGTGTCGGTGGTGTGGGTTTTCAGCTTCTGAAATAAGAAATTATTTTAAAATAATGTATATGCTACATTATAATGATACACAATTTACATTTTACCAACGACATTAATTCCAATTGAATAAAAAATTTACGTTCATATTTTCTTACCTTCAGTTGCAGTAGCGGAGTACAGAACAGCGGCGGTGACTAGGAAAAGCAGGAATACCTTCATCTTGTAAGTTTGAACCGGCGCTTAAACGTTATCAATATCAAATAATATTAGTAAATAATGATGTTTCACTGCGATGGTCCATTATTTATAAGTTTATAGGTGATACTTTTTTCCTTCCGGGAACTGATGAATTGAGCAAAGAGCAGGTAGTATACTGTATAATGTATAGTTGTACATAAACATTTAACATTGCTATTTGTATACTGCTATTTTTAATACTCATTGTACTTGCAAGATTATACACTCGCAATACAAACCCCAAAATCGTCCTATATTTAGGTGCCTAAAAAACCACTTTAAACTTAAAGTTAAATATAATTATGAACTAGCGAATTAGCGAATTAGCGAGTCAAGAGAGCAAACTTACATCGTACGTTCACATCGAAAGTAGATGGCACCCAGCACCTCAACTACTGGCAGAGATTAAAGGCCCTAGATCTGATGTCATTGCAAAGAAGAAGAGAACGATATTTAATCATCAACATGTGTAAAGTTCTGCATTGCAAGTGCCCTAATGATATTGGTATCCAGTTCTCGGTGACTCTCAGACATGGTCAAAAAGCAGTTGTGCCCAGTATAGCTAAGTCCAGCAGTCAACGTAATCAAGCACTACATGACAACTCATTTGCAGTTACTGGACCTCGATTATGGAATGTAATCCCAACACATATGCACACCATCGAGGATCCTATGCAATTCAAAGCAGCTTTAACGAACTTCGTGAAGTCATTTCCGGACGAGCCTCCAGCTCCAGGATACAGCCGTCGGAATGGAAACTCCTTGCTGGATTGGAGTGGTGATAAAACAGTTTCTACACTGTCCGGGGGGTCGACTTTTTCGATGGCCCTATATAGTCAAGGATCTGACGACATTCCCGTCTATATAACTTCCGCCCCGGGGTTTGAGACTTGGAATACCTCAAGGGACCCATTAGAAACAAATATGGCTTGGGTAGAAATTTTGGCTATGGGGCAGTTTTGCGCAATTGACCACGCCCTTTTTTGGTGCTTTTGCAACTTTAGAATCAAAATAACTCCGCTTCTAATTGGAATTAGAAGCTCAGCTTGGCTTTAAAGTTGTTCAGAATCATCACATTTAGGGGGGTAGAGCATAACTTTAACGTCAACAGACATCGGGTTGTTGAGTTATGTGACCACACCCTTATTTACCCTCGCGAGTCGTGATTTTCACACTAAATACGAGATATCTCGGCTTCTGATTGAGCTACGTGCTCATCCTGGGCATTAAAATGTTCAGAATCATCACATTGAGTAGGGTAGACCACAATTTCAAAGTCCTCAGATGTCAGGTTGTTGAGTTATTAGGCCCCAACCTGTTTTTACGCTCTCGCGGGTAGCGATTGCAGCGCTTAAAATCAAAATAACTCAGCTTCCAATTGAAGTTAGGAGCAAAACTCGGGCAGCAAAATGTTCACAATCATCACATTGAGTGGGGTAGAACGTAGTTTCAAAGTCCTCAGACGTCAGGTTGTTGAGTTATTAGCCCCACACCATAATATTTATGCTCTCGCGAGTCGCGAGTCGACACTTAAAATCAAAATAACTCGGCTTCTGATTAGAGTTAGGAACTAAACTTGGGCATAAAATGTTCAAAATCATCGCATTGAGTGGGATAGAACGTAGTTTCAAAGTCCTCAGACGTCAGGTTGTTGAGTTATTAGGCGGAACCCTATTTTTACGCTCTCGCGAGTCGCAAGTCCACACTTAAAATCAAGATAACTCGGTTCCTGATTAGAGTTAGGAACAAAACTTGGGCATGGAATGATGGAAATGTTCAGAATTATCATATTGAGTGGGTAGAACGTAGTTTCAAAGTCCTCAGACGTCAGGTTGTTGAGTTATTAGGCGGAACCCTATTTTTACGCTCTCGCGAGTCGACACTTAAAATCAAGATAACTCGGTTCCTGATTAGAGTTAGGAACAAAAATTGGCCATGGAAATGTTCGGAATTATCATATTGAGTGGGGTAGAACGTGGTTTCAAAGTCTTCAGACGTCAGGTTGTTAAGTTATTAGGCGGAACCCTATTTTTACGCTCTCGCAAGTAGTGATTCTATGCTTAAAATCAAAATAACTCTGCTCCTGATTAGAGTTAGAGTGAACATTTTTATGCCAAAGTTTAGTTCCTAACTCTAATCAGAAGCCGAGTTATTTTGATTTTAAGTGTCGACTCGCGACTTGCGAGAGAGTAAATATTATGGTGTGGGCCTAATAACTCAACAACCTGACGTCTGAGGACTTTGAAACTAAGTTCTATCCCACTCAATGTGATGATTCTGAACACGTTTGAGCCCAAGTTTAGTTCCTTACTCTAATCAGAAGCCGAGTTATTTTGATTTTAGGTGTCAACTAGCGACTCGCGAGAGCATAAAAATAGGGTTCCGCCTAATAACTCAACAACCTGACGCCTGAGAACTTTGAAACCATGTTCTACCCCACTTAATATGATAATTCTGAACATTTCCATCATTCCATGCCCAAGTTTTGTTCCTAACTCTAATCAGGAACCGAGTTATCTTGATTTTAAGTGTCGACTCGCGACTCGCGAGAGCGTAAAAATAGGGTTCCGCCTATGTATGTATGTATGTATGTATGTATTTTGACACGGGGCAGCGCTAGACCCCATGTAGTGCCCTCAACCTACTTTTAGATTTGAAGGTCATAAAGGCGACGACAATGCCAAGAGGACAGCGCAAGCCGGTGAGCTGTACACTGGGCACGCGCGCGTAATAATAGAGCTCAAACAGGTAATAGACCCCGCGAGCATATAGAATCAGGATTTTACAGGATGTGGGCAGCCGGCCCTGTGAAGGTGATGGATGCATGCAAATCTGAGGGCTTGAAGCGAGTGTATTGTGGAGCTAGCGTACTCTGATAAGTGAAGTAGCCCGAACCAGGTAGCTCACCTGCTCCGCATCGCGGGGGGCCGCTCCAGTTTACAGATGTACATGCGGAGATATGTCGACGCTCGTGAGTGAATGGGGAATAGCTGATTTGTGCGAAGGTAATGTGTGGGTTATGATGGTGCTATTACTTTAGAAGTTCTAAGCTTGTAGAATGTGTTGCAAAAACCATCCTAATTGAGGTTTATTGGTTGGCGTATGTAGTGAACTAGTGGGGTTTGACGATGAAAGAGCGCTAAGATAATTTTGGGAATGTAGTATGGGCAGATTCAAGGTTGATGGAGATAATTAAAACAACGAATATAACTGCAATTGTAAAAAGTAATAGCAAATATTTGTAAGTGAATCTCGATTGTATGTGAATCCTCTTTATCGACACTAGGCAGAGTATGATGCTGAGGCAAAGTTCGGGACTGATCTGGTATCATCTTCCTTGAGTTTACTAATCAGATCAACCTGGAGTGATGGAACGTTTCAATTATGTGGATTTGTCGTAATCTCGTGGATTAGTCGTAAGCTCGCGCGCGCGCAGGCTCGCGCGCGCACTAAATTTTCTGTTTAAAAAATGACGACTATTAGGTTGCTACGTCCTTGAGTTGTATGGCGTTCGCGCGTTACGTTTAATGCGGGAAATTTGAAGGACGGATTTAACCGGTTTGAGTAACTGGATTTGATTGAAGTTGTGTTTGGTGGAGCAAGGCGGTAGGTTCGTTTTTTAGGGGTGATTGGTGGGAGTGTTCTAACCTGGTGGTGGTGGAGGAACTGCTAATACCGGATGAAGGGGTACCCTGGAGGCAGTGATTGGATCTCTACTGGTTTGGAGAGTGGGAGTCCTTTATTTAGGTTGTCTGATGAATATCTGTGTCAAGTCGTCAATCTGGAATAACTCGAGTTTTAGTAATTTATAAAGTGGGCTGTAACATTGCGTTCCAGCCCTGAGAGGGAAAATAAACTAGTAAGAAGATGTAATTATTGGAAAATTGATGCAGATTACATTTATTGACTGATCAGAACAAGGAATAATGTTATGTGGAGTCCAACTTGTAGTTATTCATCTCATGTGATGGTTTAGCGAAGATTTCTGGATCGGAGTAGTATGATGCAGATATCAGATTTCGTAGTGCTGATCCATTGTGTTGATGTACTGCTGCTTAAACTGGTTTCCACGTATGTATGTCACAAGGGTAGCCGGGGTACTCGAATCCTAGATCTCTAGCTTTGTGTTCGCCGTAGAGTGGAGAGTGGATATCCATAGTGCTGTGTACCTGTGTAGGGTTGAAATTCCAAGGTTGCTGAAATGATGATGGTGTTAGAGAAAGACGCAAGGTGTAACATGCGTTACACCGTGGTAAGAAAGGCATTATGGTAGCAGAGAATGCATTATGACAGGAGAATGAGCGAAAGTAATGCAAATGAAAAAAAGGACCGAATTGACGAGGTGATTGAGTGAGTGAGATGCTGCATTGCTACTGGCTGACTCGCCAGCAACAATGCAAGTCCAAGAAGAAAGAAGGAGAGACACTGTCCGTTATCTGGGTGAGCCACCACCGACAGTGCTCCCACTTATGTGGGGCTGAGGGTGTTGGCTCCAAGAACCAGCCGTGAGCGAACAGCGCCTGTCCCCCTCTATGGTTAACTTGAGAGTAACAGGACTATGCCATTCTCCAGGCCAATCCGTTCAGTAACCAGCTGACCCAGCACCACCTCTGATGGAAGATGTGGTTCGGATTGGACTTCGCTAGGATTTGTCAGTTTTTCTGTAGACACTAATGCTCCCTCGAGGAAAGACATGAGCCCCGGCGAAACTGACCAAAAACGTGGCAGGGATTCTCACCCTACAGGGTTCCGCCTAATAACTCAACAACCTGACGTCTGAGGACTTTGAAACTACGTTCTATCCCACTCAATGCGATGATTCTGAACATTTGTATGCCCAAGTTTAGTTCCTAACTCTAATCAGAAGCCGAGTTATTTTGATTTTAAGTGTCGACTCGCGACTCGCGAGAGCGTAAATATTATGGTGTGGGCCTAATAACTCAACAACCTGACGTCTGAGGACTTTTAAACTACGTTCTACCCCACTCAATGTGATGATTGTGAACATTTTGCTGCCCGAGTTTTGCTCCCAACTTCAATTGGAAGCTGAGTTATTTTGATTTTAAGCGCTGCAATCGCTACCCGCGAGAGCGTAAAAACAGGTTAGGGCCTAATAACTCAACAACCTGACATCTGAGGACTTTGAAATTGTGGTCTACCCTACTCAATGCGATGATTCTGAACATTTTTATGCCCAAGTTTAGTTCCTAACTCTAATCAGAAGCCGAGTTATTTTGATTTTAAGTGTCGACTCGCTACTCGCGAGAGCGTAAATATAATGGTGTGGGCCTAATAACTCAACAACCTGACGTCTGAGGACTTTGAAACTACGTTCTACCCCACTCAATGTGATGATTGTGAACATTTTGCTGCCCGAGTTTTGCTCCTAACTTCAATTGGAAGCTGAGTTATTTTGATTTTAAGCGCTGCAATCGCTACCCGCGAGAGCGTAAAAACAGGTTGGGGCCTAATAACTCAACAACCTGACATCTGAGGACTTTGAAATTGTGGTCTACCCTACTCAATGTGATGATTCTGAACATTTTAATGCCCAGGATGAGCACGTAGCTCAATCAGAAGCCGAGATATCTCGTATTTAGTGTGAAAATCAAGACTCGCGAGGGTAAATAAGGGTGTGGTCACATAACTCAACAACCCGATGTCTGTTGACGTTAAAGTTATGCTCTACCCCCCTAAATGTGATGATTCTAAACAACTTTAAAGCCAAGCTGAGCTTCTAATTCCAATTAGAAGCGGAGTTATTTTGATTCTAAAGTTGCAAAAGCACCAAAAAAGGGCGTGGTCAATTGCGCAAAACTGCCCCATAGCCAAAATTTCTACCCAAGCCATATTTGTTTCTAATGGGTCCCTTGAGGTATTCCAAGTCTCAAACCCCGGGGCGGAAGTTATATAGACGGGAATGTCGTCAGATCCATGACTAATAGAGGATTCTATGAAGCCCTACAAAGTAACAAAGTAAGTAACTATCAAAATGAACTCAATGCCACGTGGAACAACGAATGGAACCAACCCTCAAATCGGCTGTGCTTCTGAAATTCCTGTAAATGAAACAGAAAGAACTGATCCAGCCATAGGCATAACAGAGAACAATGCTAGACAGGATTGGACACTGATTGAAAAGCGCAGAAAAGAGAAAATACCGCGACTAATAACAAACGAAAATGTTTATTAGTGCATGATCACTTTTTCGAAAGTTCGAAGACTTAGCGAGTTCGAATTTCACATCAGATTTCTACACTGATCGACATAAAGTGAAGTCCATCAGCAGTATTCTCAGTCAAGGTGGGCTGATCTCCAAGGCGCGAAATATAAAATCAGACCTTACTTATATTCACGCTGAACTGGAAGATTTGAATAAAAACAAAATCACCTTAAAAGACCTCATTGCAAACTACAAAAAACTTGTATATAACCTATTGGAATCTACATCAGCTAAAGTATATGTGTTTCTCTGATGATCCCAATACCAGACCTAAATGAAGACATAGTATATGTTAACAAAGAAGTTTCGAACTTTGTCTCGTATTTAAGAAGGCGAGGAAACTTTGCAAACAGAATATACTACTCTTGTAACAAACGTCTGGGAGGTTTCATTATACAAAAGTAACCAACTCCCAAAATAGAGACCTCTCTAATAACGAGAACGGAAAGAGGATACTCTGGTTAAGGCTTAAAGATTGCCTATATAGATGCCTTGACCTACCGAACCCTAGGCCTAGCCCACTCTTAAAGGAACGGACTCTAAATGAATATAACACACAGATTGCCTCCTGTCGCACAAAAGGTCACTATGATCGAAAGCCTCCCAATTAATCATGGAACATCCACGACTCGGTTATGAGCCAAGAAGGGCCCAAAATGGAATACAGTGACTTTGTCGACATCCTGGCACAAAGCAGTGTCTTTGCCTGCAAGAAACCAAACAGGACTTTTTTCTCCCCAACTATGAGTGCTTCAACAGCACAAGAAAAGCCTCTCGATCGGGTGGAATTTTTATCGGGGTACGCATCGCTCAATTTCAAAACAAATAAAGCTAGTCAAAACAAATTGCCCTGACCTGATGACCTCCAAGCTATTACTTTCTATCCAAATGATATGGAAAACAGGTTCACCATCATCAATGTCTACGACTCACCAGAGCAGTCGCCGTACAAATCAAAACGCAAGGCTAGAAATGGATCCCCTTACATGACAACTTTAGAGCACCTCCTTGATTTCAAAGCTCAAAACCCCGATCTTGGCAAGATCTTGCTAGTGGGCGACCTGAATGCTCGTACTGGAAATACCAACTTCGACTTTGAAGAAGATTACTCTAACACTGAACCAAATGAAATCAAAAAACTAGCGGGAGAGTAAGCAGGGATCAAGTACTTAACTCCAGGGGTAACCTATTGCTTGTAATCGACCTCGCTTGTAATCGACTATCGGTGCTGAAAGGGAATACACTGGGAGAAATCCTTGGGGAATATACATCTGTCAACTACAATGGTGGCAGTCACCACTGAATTGTTGGAATCAGTGCTGTCATTCCACGCCCCACGGGCAGAATTTTAACAAATTCTCTGACCACAAGCCGTGCATCTTGATCTGCAAAATAAAGCACAAAGACAACTTTGTTGATGCAGAGGATCTACTTGAAACACTAGAAGACGCACCTAAAAAATGCCAAAGGGATAATGAGGACGAGAAACTTCAATTTCAGTTTCATGCGATCCAAAATTCGCCAGAATTTGTTCAGAAAATAACCCGAATCGCGGAAACCGGCCAGTGCACAGACAGAAAACTTACCTGGGGACCTCAGGCTATTATGTTCATAAACATAAAGATTCGGCGGAATGACAGGCTGAGCGCGGCCCAGTAAACAGAGAACAAGTTTTGTGTCTTAATGAAGAACTCGTATCTATCTTCCAGAACATTGCCGATGTAATTCTTCCGACAAAGGGTACGAGGAACAAGCCAGATAGGATAATAGCGGGCGGAAAAAGAAAAAGGAGACAAAGAATCAAAGTTTACCCCTGGGGAACATCCGTAGTGACGCCTCTGCAAAAAACTCGGGGAACAGATTGACTTTTAACATTTTAAAACCAGATACTCGGGAACAGATTGAGTTGTGACTGAAATACCTTAAGTTGTATTGATCTGAAAGTTTTTGTTTCTAAAGAAATTTAACAGTAAGGCAAAATGTCTCATTGAATACAAGAAAGAGATCCCTTCATCGGCCTCCCATCTACCACAGCCCGCTACTTCTGCCTACTGTCACCTGGCTTTGTACTTGAGTTCAACAAATTCGTGAGTAACAAGTTCACAGATTTGAGAGAATTCGTTGTTTCCAGCGTAATGGTATTTTCGGCAGGGCACTCGGCATGCTGTTTCTTGAACAGTTGCTATTCAAGACAGTACTACTGAACAACAGTTCTTTTTATATTGGGGAAGTAGAAAATGTTTCCTTGTATGTAAGCTAAAAGTAAGAACACTTTATGGAAGGCGTAGGATCTATATGAGAAGTACGTACGGTACTGGACTTAAAGTACGTACGGTACAGCAACTTTTAAAGGTACGTACCGTACAGGCCCTATAGGGTACAGCCTCTTTTGGGGAAAATGTAACTTTTTTCAAAGTCAGTACTTGCAATGTTCGTTTAGTATTATCATAATTTTATTTGAGGTAGTAGTCGAAGAGAAACATGAATTATTAAGGTAATAAATTAACAGTGAGAGATAATAATGAGCAGTGACATATAAAATCAATCAGTATCACATTTTAATGTGCTTTTTGGAGTAAATAAACACTAGTTTTTCAGCAAGCTGAGGCTTCAGCCTCAGCCTTCTTTTATTCTTCTTTTATTCATAAGATATTCGTAGTCTCTAAAGTTTGTTTCACACAATG